GCAAAGAAACATCAATGGTTTTTGCTTCTCGGGAGCCTCTAGGGGGGACCTCGTGGGAGCCTCTTTTGGCCTTCTTGGGGCCTCCTGATCCCTTTTGGGGCGGAAGGCTCGAATTGTCGGTTCGTGCTCACCTCAAGGGCCCTTCTTGGGACTGTTTTGGGGCCCTCTTGGGCATTTGGGGGCGCCTCTCCGTCTTGGGGGCCTCTTGGGGGCCTTTGTGGGGCCTCTTGGAGGCCTATGTGGCCGTCTTGAGGCGGTCTTGGGGCCCTCGACACGTCGGAATCTCGAACAGGCGAGAACCGAACAACATTGAAAGACCTAGGGACAACCAATGATGTTTGCTTATCGAGGCCCTCATTGGAAGGCTCTTGGGGCTCTCCTGGGACGCCTCGACGGCCTCATGGGCAGTCTTGAAGCCATCTTTGGCAGTCTTGAACGAAGGATTGCAAAACAACCTAGGATTGCAAAAAAACCAACCTTGAACGAAGGATTGCAATCCTTTGCAATCCTTCGTTCAAGCCAACGTGGCCCATCTTGGAACGATGTCTGGCCTTCTTGGAGGCCTCTGGGCCTCGGGAGCCCGAATCCGTTGTATTTCGCGAAGGCTTAATGACCTCGGGAACAGGGGGGAGGAGGAGGAGGAGGAGGAGGAGGAGGAGGAGGAGGAGGAGGGAGGAGGAGGAGGAGGAGGAGGAGGAGGAACAGGAGGTGGGGGGGGCCTCTCTAAAGTTACAGGAGCCCGACAAAGGGACCTTGGCATTCTTCCATGCCTCCACGTGCACCACGCACAGTGGCGGATTGGGACACGAGGAACGCCCGAGGCGCCAAAGAGAGAGGCCCAGAAGCCGTGGAAGCCTCTTCGCCCGTGGGCCCATCTCCCCAGGCTTCGACGCCGTGATTTTTGTGCTGCCTGTACGTCGGCTCCCAGGGCCCTCGCCCCCGAGCCCCGGAACCAGCTTTTCTCCCCGGGCCGTCGTGTTGATGGCCTCTGGGGCCCGCAGGCGGCCCCCGAAGGCCGAGCCGCCGCAGGACCGAGAAGAGCCGCGGCGCAGGACCGACCGCAGGCCCCGGAGCGCGTGGGAGGCCCAGGCCCTGTCGGCGCCAAGGGCCCCGTGCTGCCACGGCCCGCGGTGGCGCCCGCGGCGATGCTGGCGCTGCGCGCGGGCCCACTCGCGGCGGCCGGGAGCTCCGTGGAGGGGAAGCGCGGCGCGGCCGGCGGCGCCGCGCCGCCGGGAGGGCGGGCCGCGCTGTCAGCGGCGGCCGCGCTCGCGGCCGGGGGCGCCGCGCTGCGGCTGCTACGCGGAAGGCGCCCAGCGCGGGGCGGCTTCGCCTCGGAGGCCAGCGAAGGCGCGCGCGCGCGAGGCCACGAGAGGTTCGACGCCGGCAGCTCGGAGGAGGAAGTGGTACCGATACCGCTGCTCGTGCTGGAGAGGATTCGCTGCCGCGGGGAGTCGCAGTATCGGTGCCTCTTGTGCCCCCCCCAGCAGCGCTCGAAGGAGCGAGGGCGGGCCCGGATCTCCTATGGTATGACTTCTTTAGACCTGGCCCCTGGCCCCACACCAGCGCGTCCTCGACAAACGCCGACTGCACCGCCAAGGCAAAGACAATGGAGCTAAACGGTCCAGGGGGCGTGGTCCCCACCCTGTGTTTACGTCTCTCCCTTGCGGTGCAGCCTTCTTCCTTCCCCGCCCTGGGCAAAAGCTAGGGTTCGGGGGGTCGCTTTAAGCTTCCTGCGAACACAGTGCTTAAGGTCGTGTCGCTCGCGTCAATTCGGCCGACATACCTGCTGCAGCGCCCACGCGGGTGCTGGCCGAGGCATGATCACACGAGTGGTGGTTGTGGCTCGGCGCTTTTTGAAGGAGCGCGCCTGCGACGGTCCACGACTCGCGGCCTCCGCGGGGCCCGAGACCCTCGCGCCCCCCTCCGACGAACCCCACCCGTTCCCCAGGGGTACGGTAGGTTCGTGCGGCGATGGCGCGCCGGCGACGCCAGCGAAGGCGTTCAAGGTTGAGTTCTGCGACGCGGAAGCATCGAGAGACGCGGTAACACCATTTGACCCGGCTGAATTCAACCTTGAACGATCGAGGCCGCGAATGATTCAAGGATGAACGATCGACGCGGTGTCAAAAACTTGTGCGCGCGCCGACGCCGCGCGAACCTAACGTAGCTTTTCGCCCTGGGCCCGTTCTAGACGTCCGGGTTGACAAGTCATATCGTCGGAGACTTGGGTAGTTGGTTGGTCGGCCGGAGGGTAACGGGGTGGGGCCCAAATGGGGAGTGAAGAAGAAGGAACCGAAAGGGGTCCTTCGGGGCCCCTTCTGGAGCCAAGAGGGGCCCAAAAGGGCATCCTTAGGGTCTTTTTTCTCCACCCGCCACGTAGGTCACCCCCCACTACCGCTCGCCCGATTTGGGGCATTCTGCCGCAAGAGTGTCACTTACATACCCCCGCGCGCGCGGGTGTAGGCACGGACACCTCGGACGTCCGCGGGAGGCGGCCTCTGTGCCGCACATGGCGCTCGTCCGCCTGGGCGAGCTGGGCCTGAGCAGGGGATCCACAGGCAGCCGAGCTCTGCTGGCGCCGGGCCCCCACCCCGATCACACACTCGGGCGGGCGGCAGCGGGACAAGCGTGAGGGCATAAATCAGGAGGGAAAGAAACACACAGACACAATTAATCGTCGACTCCCAGGAAAATATGCAAAAATATGGGAAGTGGTGGGGAAGGCAAAAACCCCAAAAATATGGGAAAATATGGGGGATCTCTTTATTTGTGTGTATTTATTTGTGTGTTCCAGTTCCCCTTCAATAAAGGATTGCAGGACAGCGGCCATACGCGGCTCCTGAGCTGTTTCTTCCTCCCACGCTCTCCGCGCCCCCGTCAGCGAACACCCTGCACGGTCGGCGGAGTCGACGCCAGGCCACGGTGCGCCCCCCGCGCAGGGGTGCAAGGCGCCCGAAGCGGGGAGTTCTCGACCACAAGCGCCGCCCGGGGGATCGAGCTTCGGGGGCATCGGCAGGCGGCGGGCATGTATCTGCTATGCTCGGGCCCTGGGGGAGGGGGGAAAACATTACACCATATGCCCATACCCCCAGACCCCCTCGCGTCATGAAAATGTCACGGCGGGAGGTCATGTGTGCCACTCTCTGCCTCTTGGGGCCCTCGCAGGGCTGCGGGACCGTCAAGAAAACGCTCAGGATTAACAAACAAAAACTGTTCCGAAGAATGGGCCGAGGCCTCTGGGAGCGGTCGATGCTGTGGAAAAAAGGGGCACGTGTGCCCATATCCACTGCCAGCCTGAGTCCCCGACGATCGATCCCCAGGCGGTGCTTATGGAGAACTCTTCACGTCGCAAAGAGGGGGCCTGGCACTGGCGGAAGTCTGCCGCCCGCGGACATCCGAGTTATTTCAGGGGGCAAAGAAACACACAGACACAATTAATCGTCGACTCCCAGGAAGATATGCAAAAATATGGGAAGTGGGGGGGAAGACAAAAACCCAGAAAATATGGGAAAATATGGGGAATATGTTTATTTGTGTGTATTTATTTGTGTGTCCTAATTTCCCTGTATTATTGTGCTTCCTCGTGCGTTCCTGGCCTCCCGCTGACGCCGCCGGGAGGCGCCTGCGCACGGGGCTCGGGGCGTGCCGCGCGCCGGGCCGGTCGTGCCGCGTCGCCGTCATCGGCGGCGGGCCCGGCGGCGTCGTGTGCTGCCGCTTCCTGCAGGAGGCGGGGCACAGGCCAGTGGTGTTCGAGAGCGGGGCCGAGGTGGGCGGCATATGTAGAGGGAAAAGAACTATGCACATGCACCGATTCTGGCCAGGTCCATCCTGAGCCCAGGATCGGTGCATACGCCCTCCTACCTTGGCCAGGAAGGCATATGCACCGATCCTGGGTCAAAAATGGGCCTTGCCAGGATCGGTGCATGTGCATAGTTCTCTTCGCCCTAATATGGGCCCCGGGTGCGACGAACGACGTCGTGTATCTCGAAGGAGGAAGGGCGGCGTGAGCACGAACCTGCGGAGCTCCGCGCGGACCTCTCGGGACCGGCGCTGGGCCCCCCTGGGGCGGCGCCTCCGGCGCGGCCCCTGGCGCGCTCCGCGCGCCAGGGAGGATCGGGGCTGGACAGAACCCCCAACAGTGACACGTCGATTAGTGAATTGTCCGTTTTCGGTTCTCGAGAGGGCGCCGCGGCCGTTATTTTCCAGGCTTGCGCCCGCTAAGTTTGGGCCTCAGGTCGTTTTCACTAAACCACGTTTTACTAAAGGGGGTTCTGTCCATCCCCGAGAGGAGGGTGGGTGCCCTGCCCAGCGCCGACCCCCAGGAATCCGTGCGGAGCTCCGAAAGTTGGGGAGGATACTGTCCCCGCGACACCTCAAAGCGAAATTATCAACTTTTTCCGAGCGGTTCGCTTTCGATTTCGCTTTCTTAACTATTAACTTTAGCGTGCGTTGCGGCGCAACACCGCCTTGGGCATGGCGTGGGCCGAAGAAGAAGCACAGGCAGAGAATAGCGCGCACAGAAGGGGCCCTCGCGGGGGGGGATCGACTCGTAGTGATAGCGTGCTCTTCGGAGATCGAGGTTGCACGCTATCTTTCCAACGCCAACCGTATGCCGTCTTTCCTTCTTCTAATATCCCGACCTCGTCACCAACATCCCTACGGTGTGCATGCAGTCCTTCGACCTGGACTTCCCCGAGGGGCTGCCGTCGTACATCCGCGCCGGCGATCTGGGCCGCTACGTCGTCGCGTACGCCGAGCGCTTTGGCGTGAGGCAGCTGGTGCGCTTCGGGGCGCGCGTGTGCAGGGTACGGCCGCTCCGCAGTGAGGAGGAGATTGTTTTTTATCCTGTAACGGTCGTTACCCAGGCCACCCCACCTTGGTAACGGTAATGATCGTCCGCAGGGGAGGAGCATGCCCCCCCCCCCCACACACACACATGCTGGTGTTTGCGCGCATAATGTGGCTACCGCAGCACCCCCCCGCCCAGACGTGCCCCAACCCGCCCAAGCGTTCCCCTTACACGGGGCCGCAAACCGCTCCCCCGCCCGGGCTACGTGGGCCCCAAATAATGTGTTTACCCTAACGATGTTGTGGTGTTGTGTCCTCGTTCTGAAGAGACGGTCCCCGCGTTCCTTCCTCCTCGCCCTCCCCCCTCCACCGCCCGCATGCGTCATTCACATCTACTTATGGCACACCCTTCACACGTGTCGTGGCCCCGTAGGGAGCTCCACTGAAGGCCCCAGTGGGACCGCCCGCATGCGTCAGCCTCCACCCAGTACGCCGCTTCGTGACCCCATAAGGGGCTCCACCGAAGGCCCTAGTGGCACCGTCCGCAGGCGTCAGCCACCACTCAGTACAGCGTTTCGTGCCCTTATAGGGAACCCCACCGAAGGTCCCAGTGGGACCGCCCGCATGCGTCAGCCGCCACCCAGGACACTGTTTCGTGGCCCCATAAGAGGCTCCACCGAAGGCCCCAGTGGCACCGCCCGCAGGCGTCAGCCACCACTCAGTACAGCCTCTCGTGGCCCAACAGGGAGCCCCACCGAAGGTCCAAGGGGAACCGCCCGCATGCGTCAGCAACCACCCAGCACAGCGCTTCGTGGCCCTCTAAGGGGATTCCACCGAAGGGGCCAGTGGCACCGCACGCGTGCGTCAGCCACCACCCAGTACAGCGCTTCGTGGCCCAATAGGGAGCTCCACCGAAGCCCCCAATGGGGCAGGCCGCCCGCATGCGTCAGCCACAAGCCAGTACAGCGCTTCGTGGCCCCATAGGGGGCTCCACCGAAGGCCCTAGTGGAACCGCCCGCATGCGTCAGCCTCCACCCAGTACAGTTCTTCGTGGCCCCATAGGGAGCTCCACCGAAGCCCCCGGTCGGACTGCCCGCATGCGTCGGTCACCACCCAGCACAGTGCTTCGTGGCCCCATGGGGGGCTCCACTGAAGTCCTCATTGGCACCGCCCGCATGCGGCAGCCACCAGCCAGTACATCGCGTCGTGGCCGCATGCGTCAGCCTCCACCCAGTACACGTGGCCCCGCAGGGGGCTCCACCGAAGGCCCCAGTGGCACCGCCCGCATGCGTTTCCCCCAGACAGTACATCGTTTTGTGTCCCCACAGGGACCTCCACCGAAGGTCCCACTGGGACCGCCCGCGTGCGTCAGCCACCACCCAGTGTAGCGTTTCGTAGCCTCATAAGGAACTCCACCGATGGTCCCAGTGGGACCGCCCGCATGCGTCAGCCACCATCCAGTACAGCCTTTCGTGACACCGCCCGCATGCGTCCCCCCCACCCAGTACAGCGTTTCGTGGTCCCGTACGGGTCTCCAGTGGCCCGCCCGCCTGCGACCCCCCCCCAGTAGAGCGTTTCGTGGCCCCATACGGGGCTCCACCCCAGTTGCACCGCCCGCAAGCGCCCCCCCCTCCCAGTACAGCGCTTCGTGGCCCCATAGGGAGCTCCACCGAAGCCACCATTGGCACCGCCCGCGTGCGTCGGCCACCACCCAGCACAGCGTTTCGTGGCCCCGAAGGGAGCTCCACTGAAAGACCCCAGTGGCACCGCCCGCATGCGTTTTCGTGGCCCCATAAGGATCTCCACCGAAACTGGCACCCACGACGCATTACTCACAACTGCATATGGTTGGGTCTCTCGCCTGGATAATTGTTGTGTTCTGTGTGGTGTTATTTATGTGATGCAATGCTATGGTGCTATCTATAGGGTGCAGCTCCCTTGCCGAACTTGTAGCCACCAGGAAGCGATTGCGATGAGTGCTTGGTGTTGGCTGGTGTATCTATGCGGCCGGCGAGGAGGACGACGAACGACGACGACGGCCATGACGAGGAACGGGGGAGGACGGCGACGCCGACGACGGCGACGACGAGGGAGAGGGGAGGGCGACGACGACGACGACGACGACGACGATGAGGGAGGAGGGAGGGTGACGACGACGACGACGACGACGAGGACGACGGACGACGACGAGGGGGTGGAGAGCGCCGGCGAACAAGACGTGAGTCGACAGCTTTTGGACGCCGACGACGACGTCGACGAGACGACGACGGCGACGACGACGCCAACGACGACGATGAAAACGACGACAACGACGACGACGGCGCCGACGACGACGACGACGACGACAAAGATTTCGGCATCCGCGCGCGGCAGCCGCGCGCATGTTCCCCGCATGGCGTTTTTCTGTTTATTAAAAATGTTGTTTACCAGGAATTGTGGCCCTGGCAAGTACGCGACCGATGTTAAAGGAGTCCGACGCGCGCGCAAGAGTTACTCGAATGACACAAATTTTGAAACACCATTGGTTTCTTAGGGGTCGGAAAGCGCGCGGGTAGACATGTTCATTCTTGTTTGAAGATGTGCTATTCGAGGGAAAACGGTACGATTCGTGCGATTTCATGAAATTCGGTCTCGAAATGATTGGAAGCACGGTGTGTTTGTAAGGATTTCGACATGCGCGCGCGGCGGCCGCGCGCATGTGCCCCGCATGTTTTTTTGTCCAAGGGATTGCGGCCCTGGCAGGCGCACGACCGCTGTTGAAGGCGTCCGACGCGCGCGCGTAAGTTGCTCGCGTGATCGAAATGTTTTTTGTTTAAACAACAAACGCTTGTTTTTTTGGATTCGGAAAGCGCGCGCGGGAATATGTTTTATGTTTAGGCGGATTCGTTCCCGAGGAAGCTTGGTCTTGAAGTTATTGAAACCACAATGTGTTTGGAAAGATTTCGACCTGCGCGCGCGGCGGCCGCGCGCATGCGCCCCGCATTGTGTTTTTGTCAATCAAATCGTGGCCCTGGCAGGCGCGTGACCGCTGTTGAATTAGATCGACGCGCGCGCAAAAGCTGCCCAAGAAGTCCAATTTGACAGGAACGCTGGTTTTCTTTTCTAAGGATCCGGCAACAGCGCGCGGGCAGATGTTTCAGAATTCTTGGGTGAGGAAGTCGTATGTTTCCATCGGTTTTCTTGGAAGCGGGATGTTGAAATTGTTGAAAACACAGTGTGTGTGTGTGTTGGAAGGATTTTGGCATGCGCGCGCAGCGGCCGCGCGCGCGTACCCCGCATGGTATTCTTTAGAAAGGGATTCGCGAAACAGTGTTATGCTAGAACAAAACATGTCACCGTATAGTTTTTTCTTTGCAAGGGAACCGAGGGGGGGGGGGGCCGAAGCCGGCCTGGCTGGGATAGTAAGAATTCACCGATAGGGTGGACATTGGGTCAGAATCATATGCGTTTTGCGTAGGTTCCCAGGGGATCGATAAGTCCCGGCTGGGGTAGAACCTATTGCGCTTTAAAGAAAGAGAACTTAACTATGTGGTACAATCTATGTTGTGTAAGATACTTGGAGCAATCTGTGTTTTGCAAGACATGTGGTCCAGCCTATGTTGTGCAGTTCACAACCCTGCACCGCGCTTGACCACCTCTCATGCTTCTACAAACATGCCACCCACCCACCCGCAACTTGGTTTGCAAAACCCATGCGGCGGCGATTGCGATGCATGCTTGGCGTTGGATGGCGCATCTCTGCGGCCACGCTAGCCCGCGAATGCTCGCGCGCGCAGCGGCCAGCTAGTTTGGCGCGACCGACGCGGCCGCGGTGGCGCTGGCCGCTGGCCACTTCCCAGCGGCCACTTCAGTGCGAGTCGGTGACTTGGGCTGGCGCGGCACCATGGCGACGCCAACAGCAGTGGACGCGATGATGACAGTGGCGATGGCGACGAAGGTGGCGATGGCGGCGGCAGAGCCAATGACGGCGCCGATGTTCATCGCGCCCGCCGATAACCCCATGCCCACGATAATAATGTACCCCCCCCTTCAGTAGTTAGAGTTGATTATCGTCGACCAATGAGAGTTTGGTCGGGGGCGCGGGGGCGCGGAGGCCGAACTTCATTATCACGGGAAAAGTTCGCCATCGAGGTTACTTCCTTCTCATGTTGAGATAACAACATCAAGCGAAGCGAACGCGTTTTTTTTTTGCCTCGAGCGAAACCAATCATTTTGGGAGGCAACCTGAAACCAACCGATCAAGATTTCAAGGATGTCTCAAGCGGAGCCAGCAATTATTTGAGGATGTCTCAAACGAAGCGAAAACTTGTCGAGGATGTCTCAAGCGAAACAAGCATATACTCGAGGATGTCTCAAGCGAAATGAGAGATTTGTCGAGGATGTCTCAAACGAAACGAGAGAGTTGTTCGAGGATGTCTCCAGCGAAACGAGCACGTTTTCGATGATGTATCCGGCGAAGCGAGCACGTTGTCGAGGATGTCTCAAGCGAAACAAGCATGCATTCGAGGATGTCTCCAGCGAAACAAGCACACTGAAGGACGTCTCAAGCGAAACAGTACGTTTCTTAAGGATGTCTCAAGCGACACAAGCATATACTCGAGGATTTCCCACGCGAAAGGAGAGATTTGTAGAGGAAGTCTCGAGCGAAACGACAAGTTGTGCTCGAGGGTGTCTCAAGCGAAACAAGCAATTGCTCGAGGATGTCTCCAGCGAAATGAAAGATTTCTCGAGGTTGTCTCAAGCGAAACGAGAGATTTGTTCGGGGATGTTTCACGCGAAACGAGCACGTTTTCGAGGATGTACCCAGCGAAACGAGCTAGTCTCCTGCTCCCGCCCGCAGCCGTTCTGACTCGAGCGCTTCGAGCTTTCGAGCTTTCGAGCCTTTCGAGCTTTCGAAGCCTTCGAGCTTCAGCTTCCCGAGCCGCGGCGTCGCCCAAGGCGTCGAGCCCCCAGCTCGCGGAGGACAGCCAAGTCATCGAGCTGCCCAAGCAAAACAACAAGGTTTTGGAGCAGATGTCCAAGCTGCTCGAGAAGCAGAACGAGGCCATCGAGGTGCAGAACAATACACTCGAGCACATCGCCGAGAAGGCAGGCTGCGCCGAGATGAGGCAGTGCCAATCGAGCGGCGAGGCTACCGACGCTTCGAGGATGACGAGCTTTTACTGCCGAGGCGGCTCCGCGCCGCGGCACAAGAACATCAAGAACGCCGTCC